ACAGATGATGAATAGAGAACCTGACCCAACACTACTAGTATATATCTTCCACATACGTGCGCGTGCGAACACACACACACACACACACGCGCACACACACACACGCACACAGATACATAACATACAAGTAAATATAAATTACATGCAAACAAAGACATGTGCCAGAACATTACAACTCAAAATGACAAATAAATGCAGCAAATTGCACAGTTCAGCTTCATAATAATAAATACAACCTCACGAAGAAACATGTCCGTCATAGTAATGATAAACCGCTGCCAAAGTAAAGAGATTTTGTAAAAAGACAAAGAGTATATGTACAATAATGTACAATATTTTGAGTCTTGAAAAAACTCTCTCCTCATGAGTACCACATATATATACCTTTCTGTCTTCTGCCTCAACTAGCACTATCAGTCGTTACTGACATTACATTTTTCTGACAGCAACACCTCCAAAATCACGCTAGAGATCACATTTGAACTTGAAAGAAAAATAACTGGTGCCAGTGTCAGGCACAAAATTAATTGTTGCTTGTTGTATTTTTTGGCCTTCCCTGACATGAAAACAAAATAAGTTGGAGAGTGGATAAAACTGCTCACTTCCAAAGAAAATAGCTACAGAATGCCTACATGTTACCTCATGAACACTGATGGCCAAAATAAGGGAGAAAAAAATTGACAATAGCAAAATCAAGAAATAGATCTTCAAATGCGAACGTATCCACTTTCTACGGTATAAGACGCTAAAATAAACCTTAAAAATCCAGAAAATATAATCAGTGAACACAAATCATTAATGAAAAGCATAACAAAGAATTGGACGCCATTTTAAAAAAAAAAGAGTTGTCTTTAACAAAAATGAACTCATGCTAAAACAAAATAAAGTCATCGTCCAAATAAAACGCCCATGTCATGGCATTTAAAATGACTTTGACAGTAATTTTAATAAGAAATTCAAAGTCAGAAACTCATTTCTCCAACTGGTCCAAGCTTAAAAATTTGTAAAGCAAACAATTTTGCATTCAAACAAACATCTTGAATAATATCCAAACCTCCAAAATAATCGGAACACACAAACACATTAATTAAAACAAAAGTGAATGTAAAAGTATGGCCAATAGAACAGCAATGGAATGCAACTATGCGGTATGACTAACAGTGACAAAAAAAAACAAAAGTTTTCTTTTCCAAATGAGTACAGTCTGACTTTTGTCCTTTCATTTCTACTTTGCGTATATCGAAAAAATGACAAACAGGGAACAGTCTGACTTAAAGATAGGCTACCATTATTATTTTTACTGTACAAAAAAATCCCACTTTTATCATAACCAGCAAGTTGTGTGTAGGACGAGCCATAAGTGACTTTTGGAAAAAAATCCTATCAAGTCAGAAACCTCAACATTCGAATACAAATTACAAAATCGGTAAATAAAAGTAGCAGTCATAAGTATCATAGAAAAAAAAAACCTAGCAAGTCAGATTCCTCAACATTCAAATACTAAACCTCAACATTCAAATACTAAATACAACATTTGTAAATAAAACAGTTCTAAGTATCACACACACAAACCTTTCCCTCCCTACCACTATCACACAACCACCTCCAGCAATCTCTTCATCTGACACCTCTGCATGAGGAGAAATCACACGTTTGGACAAGACATCCCTGCCACCAAGGGAGAAATCACACATTAGGACAACACATACCTGCCACCAAGTACGGTACCCTAAAGGTATCTGCACATGAAGCTGCATGAACAGTCTCCTAAATCTCGTGTCCACTATTTGTTTGGCCATGGTTCTCCCCCCC